AGAATTGCCATTTGTCAAATTATATCTTCATACACGTATCACCTAGAACTTTTAGTCAAGACTACCTTGCAAAATTGTTATCTAAATAAACTTCAAGTAATTTATATTGCCTTTATCTACATTTATCATTTTGGCCATCAAATTTAGAAGGTAATGGGAGTTGAGATCAGATATGAAATCTGACACTTTTGTAGGCATCCTGTGAGACTGATAGAATTCTATGGAGTGGATGCAAGTTGTTTTCATCATGGGCGTCTTCTTCACCCATAAGACATGAAAAATAAAAGCAATGACAAAATGTCACACAGGGCTCATTCTTACAGTCCTGTCCATTGTTTATGTTTAAGAACAGTGATTCTGAGCTTATGAACTCACAACTCTGAGGACTCCCATGTGGGAAGCAAACAAGGCATATGAGAGATATTCAGAGCAGGCAATCTGTTGTTACGAGTTGAAGCAGGGGAAGTGGGCAATAGGCAGGCCACGTAGATTCCTACAGCTTGTGTTAAACACAATTTTATCCCAAGAATAGTGGGAAGCCTCCAAAGAAGGATGAGCAGGAAGTGTGATGATGGGAAGAAAGAACGTACCAGAATCATGTTAGACGTGAGCTGAAATATGACAGTGACTTATATATACTGTTAGTAATTTAAAGATTATTAATTTTTTTGGTATTGGGAATCGAACTTGAGTCCTTGTGCTTGCCAAGCAGGCACTGTGCCACTGGGCTGTATCCTTGACCCTTAAAATTCTTTAAGAAGTTAACATAATAGGACTTCGTTCCTATGTGTAGAGCATAAGTTGGAGAAGAGGATTGATGATGGCCTAAATTTTTGGCTTTGTAGCTGAGAGAGGCATTCATAGAGCTAGAGCCCCGGGTTAGTGGGGGTAGCTAGGAACGTACTGACTTTCGAAGGGCTTTTGAGACCTCCGGGTAGTGATTTCAAGTAGGCAACAATGTATAATCTGGAGCTCTGTCTAATGGCCTAGTGTCTCATGATGTTTTGTTCACAGCTTATATCACGTTGATGGAGCTTCCATTATAGAATTATAAAGATTGTTGATTCAACTGAAGCCCAGGGGAGATAGATTAGGACAAAACTGATTGTATTCTTTTATACACTGTCTTTGAGTTCCTGAATAGACTATATATGTATGTATCTTCCCTGCCTGTTCTTACATACCTCCTGGATTAGACATACATATATATATTTGATTCCTTCCATCATATAGAAAACTTCAGCCTCACATCATATAACAAGCTAGGGTTAAATTTCTGACATCAGTTGTTGTAATCCTTTCCTTTCCTTTTTATAGGTGTTGATGGTAGTTTGTGTTAAATACTTGATTATTTGTACCGTAACTTACTTTCCAGTTCTTTAGTCCAGATCCAAGTTCCTTTGTTTCTTCTATCTTCATGCTTTTCTGCCCTTGGTCTGATGAGTTCACCATCCTTCTGAGAGCCGGAGTGGTTGAGGCACTGGTTCCCGTCATAAGTTTTTTTTTTTTTTTTTTTTTTTTTTTGCGGAACCGGGGATTGAACTCAGGCCCTTGTGCTTGCCAGGGAAGCGCTTGTTCTACTGAGCCATCTCCCCGGCCCCAAGTTTTCTTTTTAAGTCAAGAATTTTATTTATTTTAAAATAAACCTTGAGAATTCCCCATTATTCACCACCCTACAAGACTTTGCATGTGGAGTGATGATTTCTCTCCCCTTCCTGATGAACTTGCATTAAACCATGATACTAAATCCAAGTTCTTGAGGACAGTCCTATACATTTGCTTACCCTTTCCACAAGGACAGTGGATTAAATGGCAGGTGCATTCAGCACTTTTGGAGCCCTTTTCTCAGCGTGAGGAACTTTCTACGGGGAGATGAGAGGGCGGGCGGGGGAGGGGAAGTAAGCTGATTCAGGTATGCTGTGTATTTGTATTTGTTTTTTTTAAATTTTTTTTTTAATGCTGTGTATTTGTACTGATTCCCCAAGAAGAATGTAATTATCACCTGTTGCAAACATATGCTAATATAACATTTACATTTAAAAAATGATACTGTACTTTTCCCCTCTAAATTTAGGAAAGCTTAGGATAGACATTGCACCTTCTTTTGTTTTTTGTTTTTTGGGTTTTTTTTTTTTGTAGGACAGTTTCAATGATTAACACATTGCATACATTCTTCCTAGTGGTTAATTGCTATACAAGATGCGGACATGATATCCTATTTATAAACACCATTAGAACAAATCCCTCTGTTCATTAAGAGAATGTAATTATATATCCTATCCTAACCACTTTGAATATACAAAATGGACATTCATTTATATATCCCCTTTTTTTGTTAAGTTCTGTTATTTGACTGTTATAGGTGTGTTAACTCAGCAAAATATTGTAAAAGAGTCCAGTAGTCCATAATAGTATTGGGTCTTCCGCTTGACAGGCAATGTCAGAAATTGTTGACCTGAGTCCCCTACAGCTCAACACAACAGCATGGCTTTACTTCTTATACTTTGTTTTTATACTTTTCTGCTGGATGGTTAAGACCAAGATAAAGCAAGACCTATGCAACAAGAGTTGTAGCTTCTAAGCATTGTCTACTAAGTTCACGTTTCTTTGGGTTCTCTTACTTATCTGGGTGGTTGCTACTTTTGTAATTGCCTTGAACTCGCTGTGTAGCCCTGGCTGGCCTTGCATTTGTGGCCATTCTCCTGCCTCAGTCTCTGAGTACTAGAATTACAGGATTATGTCAACATGCCCAACTGCATTTGGTAGCTTTTGAAAATGTGTTCTCTTCAATGTTGCTTTGTCTGTTCTCACAAGACTGTGACTCAGTAGTGTTTTATAGCCAGGTCTGGGAACTTCTTTGCACTTCATAATATAGTGTATCCAACAAAAATACTGTAGGCCTTTACTTTAGCTTTGGTAGTAAATTAAAGCTGCTTTCTCCAGTGTGCGAGCCCTTTATCTAGGGGAGTGTGATAGACTCATGCTGTCCTGGAACTGAGTTAGTTAAAAGCTGCAGCTGGGGGCTTGCTGGTTAGCTCAGTTGTTGAAGCGCCTGCCTGGGCAAACCCAGTCAGGCTTGTGGGACAGTGGTTCTATCCTCAGCTCCACATGCCACACCATACCCACTGATAAGGCAGCCTGAGCCCGCAAAAAAAAAAAAAAAAAAAAAAGCTGCAACCATTGAGTATTATCAAAAAATAAGACTGTATTTTCAAGAAATAGTACATAACTCTTTAAAGATCTTTTCTTCCTGAATGTGTTCTGGGAAAGTATTTTTAAGGCCTTGGGCCATTTGTACAGTTAGCTTTCACAGAAATTTTAGGGTTTTTTTCCCCCAAGAATGATATTGATATGTTTTAGGGCAATAATACTGTATGAATTGAAAAGGTTTATTCATTTTATGGTAATATAATTTTAAATGAATAGAAGGGAATGGTAAAAATAAGAGTAAACGTAACCTGAAGATATATATTTTTTTGAGATGTGGGACAGTGCCACACAAATTGAACATTATCCTGCTTGAGATTATGTAATTCTCATGTCAGCTGTCCTAAGTGCCATCTTCTTTTTGTCAGTGACAACGTTGGCACGGACAGTTGTGCTCTTTGGGCACAGAAAGCTTTAAGCAAAAACATTAGTAAGCAGTATTAATTTAACTGATGAGAAGACTGTATTTGTTCCTTTTGTTGTGGCATTTAGTAGAATCCCAAAGAGTGCTACCTCTGCACCATTTATTTTTGAGAATTGATAATTTTATAATACCATCTTGCAATTTCTAGTGGTAATGTTTATATAAATACAAACTGAGAAGTTACTGAAAATCTGGTAAAGGAACTTGGTTTGAACATTTTAACATATCTGCATATAGTATTTATAATTCAAGAATCTCAGCCAAGTATGGTATAATTCTGTAATCCCAAGACAAGTTCAAGGGCAGTTTGGGGAATTTAGTGAGACCCTGTTTCAAAAGAAAATGTTTTTAAAAGGCTGGGGATAGCTTAGTGGTAGAATGCTTGGCTAGCAAGTGTGAGACCCTATATTATATTTTTTTAATTTTATTTTATTGACAAACAGCAATGAGACCTTTTCAAAACTGATTAATATGACATTTTTAATAATTAATACATTGTACATTGTTATCTTTGTAGTGGTTATCCATAGTACAAGATACAGACAGGATATCCTGTACAAGCACTATTAGTACAAATCTTTCTTCTCATTGATTTAAGCGAAAGTAGGTATATATCTATCCTAACTATTCTGTATTTACAGATTCAGAATGGTCCTTCCTTTATATCCCCTTTTTTTGTTTAGTCCTGTCAGAGATGGGTATTCCATTGACATTTAAATACTATAGGTGCGTGAATTCAGCAAAACAATCCAATACAGTCCAGCAGTCCACAATAATAGTAGGTTATGACTTGAGCCTTTCACAGCTCAGCATATTAATATGGCTTTACTTTATATACCTCATTTTTGTACTTTTCTGCTGGATGGTTAAGGCCAAGATAAAGCAAGACCTATATAACAAAAAATATAACTTTTGTATCTGATAAGGTCAGTCAAGTCCCCTCAGGATTTATCCTGTAACCCTGTACCGCAGTTTGCAGATCCTTTGTCAGTGTCAGCCATGTGGATGAGTCATGGCCTTTGTTTGACCAGTTTGCTCTCTGTGAATGCCTGAGAGAATGTTTTCTCTCCATGTGGCTCTCCTTAGGCATACTCTGCGTCATCTTTCTGATCAAGGAGCAACGTGATTGAGACCCTGTATTCATTCTCCAGTACCAAACAGACAAGCCTGAATCTGATACAGCCTAAGGGTGTAAACAAATTCTGATCTTCTAAGAAGATGGGTCAGAAAGCTTTTAAGTTGCTTATTTGTAATTGTAAACTAGTATGAATCAAAGACAGTGTCTTGTTTCGGCTTACTTTCTTGTTCACAAGTTAAATGAGAAAGGTTTATTTTGGTTCTGTGTTTTTGTAGAGGTTTTAATCCATAGTCAGCCAGTTCAAGGCAAGGTGGCAGTGCAGCAGAGTGTGGCAGAGGAGTAGTTGGTGGCATTGGCAGGCAGGAAGCAGAGCGAGATAAAGGGAGTAGGAAGGTGACCCCCAGTGACCCTCCTCTTCTCCCAGGCTTCACCTCCACTACTTCACCCAGCTGTGACCTCGTTAGTGGACTAAGCCAGTGTGGTGTACCAGTGGTCCTGCATTACATTCCCCAAGCCTCAGAGTAATGTTCACTTTGTATGGTTCTGTCCCACACTGCCTACATTTCAAGGCCTCATTAGCTTCATGTGGTTAGTGGCTACCATATTGGATAACACACATAGAGAATATTGTAATCATAGCAGAATATTTTATTGAATAATGTCAAACTTAAATATTAGAAAAGTAACTAATCACATTTTATGTAAGTTAGAAACATTAAAATTTAGGGTATTTGCTATTTAAATTGTTTGCCTTTTTCACTATGCTTCTATAATATCTATAAGTAAGGAGTGTTATTATCTAGTTTCATATATATGTGTGTTTATTTTCTGTAAGTAAATATTGAATTTCAACTTCTGTGCTTCATACTCTGATGTTATATGAGACAATTTTGTTTTTGTAGTATGTAAGGATTTGGCTGTATCCTGCTGCCATGGCTTTATCACCTAAAATAATACTATTGAGATAAAATAATATTAATCATTTTTAGGCTGAATAGCATTATACAGCCTAATTTTATAGTAGGTATAAGAATTTAAAACAGTAAAACTATATACTCCATGTTTTTTATAGGCCTTTGGAAATTTTGAACAATGAGAAGCTTTACATTGATCCTATTTATTGTATAATTTACTCTTAGATACAGTTTATAGGGTAGTTATAAAATTTATTAATTTATATTCTCTTTTAATAAAAGATAATATTTCATTTTTTTTAATCCTAGGAAGCTCTACAAAGGATTATTTCAACTCTGGCAAATAAAAACGATGAAATTCAGAACTTTGTTGATACACTAAATCATACTTTAAAAGGAGTTCAGGTATGACTTTTTTTATTAAAAGTGTATAACTATGTCACAAAGAATGATTAAGTCAATGTGAAATTTAAGTGTACTGTATCAGAAACTAACAGAGGTAAGAACGGGGGTATGAAATAGCAGATAAAGTATGACTGCTGTGGCAGTTAGGGTGGGTGTCACCTTGATTGGTTTTGGGATTCACCGGGGCTTTCGTGGAACATGGTTCCATGCCCTCCTACAGTGGTGTTTCTGCTTGAGCCACCTGGCCCTGGAGTGAATCCCCTTAGACCATGAGTCACATTCATTATTCATAATGAAGCTGAAATTCCTGTGTCACGCTGCTGGGCAGCTCTGAGCCACCCGTGGAACGTACATGGCTGACCCATCAGGCGCTACAGGACTGTCCTATATGTACCACCGTGGTACCAGCTGGCGGGAATGTGTTAAACCTTTCCCTTAAAGTTGGATGGGTGTCAGGTATTATGTGCCAACAATGGGAAAGGTGACCAAGACAGAAAACTGGTACTGAGAATAGGATTATTGCTTTCATGGTATCCGATTTCTGGTTTAGGAGCCTTTGGAACTGGCTTACTGGAAGAGCTTGGAAAGGTTTAGAGATACAGGCTAAAGAAGCCCTAGAATGCTGCAAACAGCAAGGCCATAGGGTAGGGGCACTGAAATCCTTTGACCAAATCCTTGGTCCCCATGTGCCCATACGCCAGATGTGGAGCTACTGTACTTAGTGTTTATCTTGCTGAGTTTTGGTGTTGTTTTGGTTTCTTTTCTCTCTGTTCCTTCCTTTTGGAATGGGAATTTTACCCTGTGCCCCTGTACCTTGGTATTATGTAATTTAATTTTTATTTTTATAGAGATTCACAGCTAAGAGTTTTCCTCAAGTGTCAGAAAAGATTTGGATTTCAATTTTTGAGAAATGCTAGAACTTTTAAGACTTTAGGGAAAGGGTTGTTGCATTTCTGATTGAACACAGGGTAGATTTAGCATGTTAGGCAGAATTATGAACTTACTATAGTCATACCAAAGCACTCAGTTTTCAAACTCATTAAGTTTGGTACTTGATGAATTTAGACCCAAAATGTCCCAGTACTCAGCATTTTTTTTTTCAGCATTTGTTTTGTACTCATAGTGCAAACTAGAACTTGTAGGTATCTCTTATTACCCTTTTGAACCGAAACAATTAGTTTGGTACTCCTCACACATCCTAGAACCAAATACCAGAGTACCAAGGTACACTACATTGTCTTTGTGCATAAATTAAATTAGGTTTAAGGAGATGTGTGTGGTGTGAAATTGACGGGGATGGGCCTCAGGTTGTGTTGCTATGTCACTTTGATTAGATCCAGCCAGGGACTTGGCAGAGCACACTTCTGCTGCAGCGTTTCTTCTTTAGGGCTAGCCAGCCACAGACTGAACCTCCTGAAATCAGAGCCAGATTAGACCTTTCTTCTTTAAGTTTTGGATGTCAGGTGCTGTGTCCCAGCAGTGGGAAAACTGATTAATATGAATGCCTTATTTGCAATGCCTGCTCTCTCTGTAGAAATACCAACTGTAATAGTTGCTGGAGGACATTATAGTGCTTGCTCTACTTCCTCTTCTTCCTCCTCTACCATGTCCTCCGCTTGATGATTTTCTACTAATTTCAGTTAAGAGCAAACTATATCTTTTCAAAGTACTAGGAAGTAGATCATTTCTTATGTAGAAGTAGTGGATGCAAAATGAAGATGCTGAGGGATCTATTTGAAGAAGCAGAGGAAAGTAAAACATAAAAGTAAATCGTGAAGTACCCAATTAGGATGGAGAGAAATACATACTTAAAATCAGTGGTTTCAGATTCGGGCCAGTAATCCATATCGGCAGTGGGAAATGCTGGTTATGGAAGCACACTCAACAATCTAATGATGGCTGCAGACATATTACCTGTATAGACTGAACCAGGAAGAAGTAGAAAATCACAACAGACTAATAAGTTTGAATTAAATGGTAGTACAAAGTTTCCCTTTAATGAAAGTCTTGGAACTTGATGATTTCACTCCTTAGTTCTGTTAAACATTTAAATATCTTTTCTTCTTAAACTCCTCCAAAAAATAATAAAATAAAGAGAAAATACTTCCAACTGTATTTCATATGACCAGCATCACCCTGGTACCAAAACCATGTAAGAACATGACGAAAACAATGCTATGTAAAACTACATTTTCTAATGAGCATAGATGCAGATTTTGTCAACAGAGTACTATCAAAGTAAATTCAACTGCATGTTAAAAATACCATTCACTGGGACCAAGTGGCTTTATCCTTCAGATGCAGGGATAGTTCATTATACATAAATCAACAAATGTGATGTTCCCTATTCACAGAATTAGGGAAAAAAACCCACATCTCATCTGAATAGAGGTAGAAAAAGAAGTATGATAGAATCTTAACATCTTTTCATGGTAAAGATTCCCAGAAAATGTACCTCAACACAGTAAGGCCATGTATGACAAATGCACAGCTGACACCTCAGTTGATGGGGAAAAGTCAGAAGCTTCCATAATCAATAGGACAATACCTCTTCTCTTCACTTATGTTCTCTATAGTAGTGGAAGGCCTAATGTGAGGCATGAGACAAGAAAAAGAAATAGTAAGCTTTGAAACAAGGAAAGAAGTGAAATTGTCTGCTTACTGAGATCATTACATTATATATAGAAAATTCTAATTAAACATATTAAGGTTGATAAATTTAGTAAAGGTGCAGGATACAAAATCAATACAAAAGTTGGTAACTTTTCTATATATTAACAGGAATCTTTGAAAGAGATTAAAATATAGTTTAACTTACTATAGCCTCACAAAAATAAAATATTTAAATGTAACTAAGGAAGTGAAAAATCTATGTACTAAACACTACAAATGATTGATGAAAGAAATTAGAGAAGACATAAATGGAAAGGTAGCTAATGTTCATGGACTAGAAGAATTAATATTCTTAGAATGTTCAGACTACTCAAAGCAATTTATAAATTCAATACAGTCATTGTCAATATTTTAATATTTTTTGCAGAAATAGAAAATATCCTACTTTTTAAAAATTTGTTTAGAAAATATCCCAAAATTTATATGGAACTATAGAGATCCTACATAAGCAACTTAATTTTGAGCAAAAACATCTTATATAACCAGCATCAACCTGGTAACAAACCCTGGTACAAAGCTATTATAGTCAAAACAGTATGGTACTGGAACTGGTCAGTAGAACAGGATAGAAATCCCAGAATTAAATGCATGCATTTATGGTCAGGTAGCTCTTGAAAAAGGTGCCAAGGCACTCAATGAGGAAAGGATGTTCTCTTCAGTAAATGGTGCTAGGAGAACTGTATATCCCCATGTAGAAGAATGAAATTGGATTCTCATTTCACACCATGTACAAAAATGAACACAAAATATATTATGAACTTACCCATAAAACCTGAAAGCATATAACTATCAGAAGAAAACAAAGAGGGAAGCGCCATAATAATGGCCTGTGAAATGATTTCATGCATAGGACCCCAAAAACAAAGGCAAGAAAAGCAAGAATAAGTAAATGGGATTGCATCAAACTAAAAAGCTTATGCATAGTAGAGAAAGCAACAGAGTGAAGGGACAGCCCACTGAGTGGAAAAAGTATTTGCAACAACATCTCTGAAAAAGTGCTAATATTGAAGTATATAAGGGGAACTCTGTAACTAGAAAATAAATAATGATTTAAAAAGTGGGCCAAGAACGTAAACTAACATTTTTAAAAGAACAAACATGAATGACCAACAGATAATGAAAAAATGCTCCACATTTCTAAACATCAGGGAAATGCAAATTAAAACCACAATGATGTTACCTCACATCTGCTAGAAGGCATTTTATTGGAAAGACGAAAGTAGCCAGGCAGGATGGTGGATACCAATGGAACCAGTGAATCAAGAGACTCCAGCAAGAAAATCATTTGAGCCTATGAACTTAAGACCAACTTGGGCAACACAGTGAGACCCCACATCAGAAACAACAATAACAAAAGTACCCTAGAAAGGTAAGTGTTGACAAGAATGTGGAGAAATTAGAGCCCTTTTGCCATATTGGTGGGAATGTAAATGGTACAACTTTTATGGAGAATAGGGTCCTAGGGATTTGGCTCAGCGGTAGAATACTTGCCTACCAAGCTGGAAGCCCTAGGTTCAGTCCTCAGCCCCAAAACCAAAAAATAAACTTACCCCCCCAAAATAAAAACCCATACTTTATGGAGAACAGTATGAAGATTCCTCCAAAATTAAAAATAAAGAAGAATTGCCATTTGATCCAGCAATCCCACTGTTAGATACATAGCCAGGTAAAGGAACTGAAATCAGTATGTGAAAGAGATATCTGCCATCCCATGTTCATTGAAGCATTATTCAAAGTAGCAAGATATAGAAAGAACTTAGTGCCCATCAGTGGATGAATGAAAAAAGAAAAATCTGTGGCTCTGTATACACAGTGGAATACTACTCAGCCTTCACAGGGAAATTACATCATTTTAAAAAATGTGTAAGTGTGGAGGGCATTATGTTAAGCCAGGTACAAAAACACAAGTCCTGCATGATCTCACTCATATGTGAATCTAAAAACATTAAACTTATAAAAACAAAGAGCAGAATGGTGGTTATGAAAAACTAAGGGGGTAGGGAGGTTGGAAAAACAGCACGTGTTCATCAAAAAGCACAAAATTCTAGTTGGGGGAACACATTTTAAGTATTTCACAGCATAGTGACTGTTACTAATGATGATGTGTATTTCAAATTTGCTAGAGAAGTAGATCTTAAATGTTATCACTATAAAAAAATAAGATGATAATTGTGTTAATCAGCTTGACACTAATCTCTCTAAAGTGTTTGTATGTATATCATGTTGTATAACACATCTCTTTGTTAATTTAAAATAAAATCTGATAAGGCTTTCATATGAATGTACCTTGATAAATTGAGGGATCATTTCTTTATGAAATGTATAGA